GTCGTCGTCGTCGTCGTCGTCGTCGTCGTCGTCGTCGTCGTCGTCGTGGTCGTCGTGGTCGTGGTCGTGGTCGTGGTCGTGGTCGTGGTCGTGGTCGTTGTGGTGGTGGTGGTGGTGGTGGTGGTGGTCACACATCTTGTCGTGCCGGAGCGGCGTAGGGTGGTCACACAGTTTTTCAAGGGTACGTGCTCAATTTTCTACAGTCTGAAACAGTCCTACTAACTTACTAGCTTGCAAATTGCAGGCCCATAAGCCGCATAGGTAGGAGATGGTAGGAGTTTTTCCTGCGAGATGGAACCTTTTTCTGACTGGTTCTTAGTGAGGAATGAAGGAATGGATACTAAGGTAACTATGTTGAGGGGTCACTCCCATATTCCCTACTAAGCACCAGTAGCAGTTAGTTTTGTGGGTGATGTTGGAACTTGACAGTTGATATTGTTGAAGGTGGACCGGAGTTGAAGGCACCACAACAAGGTTCACATGAATGCAGATCTTGTCAAAGGGGTGTTGGTTCATGATTTGCATGACGACCTGGGATGTGAGGAAACAGAGCCAGACCTGCCAAACTTACAGTGAAGGCCTTGGATACTCCTGGTTTTCGACCAATTCACTTCGTTCTTTCAGGGCTGAATTGGGAATTCCACAAGAGCTTGTCTTGTGCTTCGGCTATACAAATCCGATGCACAAAAAGGTGCAAAGAGAATTGTTGACTCCGCCCTCCATCGCCCGCAGACATCGTACAAAATCCCAAGGAAAGGAACCGACGGACAAGTCCGCCGAGAACTTTCCATATCCCCGGATACATCGCCAGCTTCGTTGACCAGGAGACGATGTATCCTGCCTGGTCCCCTGCTTGCTTAAAAAGTACACATTAGAGAGAAACTCCTAGAAGCGGTGGGGGGCACACACAGATTGTCACTTTGCGGCGCTCATGTGCAACTACTTAGCCCTTGACTTGAACACTTAGCCTTTGACTAAAAGGAAGAACCTCACTACATACCTACTTAAAAAGCCTCTAGCAGAAAAACAGACCTAGAAAGAGAAACGAAGAGGCAAGAGAGAAAGAACCGAGGGGCAGGGAAACGAGCCTCAAGAGCCACCGAACAAGCCTGAAAGAAAACCTAACAAATGCAGAAAGCGCACGAGGGGTGTGTGTACATGTGTGTGTAAGCCGTAAGCCCGGCGGCATCAAAACCGTATGCCCGGCGGCGTCATGTCGGTTGATTCATGGGTGAAACAAATCAAATCCAAGACCAGAAACCCCGAATGCAAGTGGCTAAGTCCATTTGTGATACACGATGGCTTCTGCGCCTCCTTTGCAGGAGGATCACACTGTGCACCCGAGTGGGAGAACACAGCGAGTCACACTTAGAAATGGTTCATCCAATGCCATAATCCCCAGTGAAAGGAACAAGTGAACGGAAAGGTGGCTGAGTCCGCGGAAACAAAATGTTTGAACAGCGGTGTTTTCGCTTGACTGCGGTGTTTTCGCTTCGGGTAGGGTTTAATAGCTAGAAAAGGGACAAAAAATTACAGTTTGTAGCTAGGGGGCGCGACTTGCGAATCGGACAATTCCGCCGAGAACCATTTCCTTCTGTTGCCCTGTATAGCAGTGCAGGTACGTGGAAATGGCGTCCCATTTCGATATCCTCGGATACATCGCCAGCTTCGTTGACCAGGCGACGATGTATCCTGCCTGATACCCTGCTTGCTTAAAAAGTACACATGAGAGAGAAAACTCCTAGAAACGGAGGGGGGCACACACACTCCCATGAACGCATCACATGGAAGCGGAGTGAACACCACCTGTTTGGTGTTCAAATGGTCATCCGAATCGGAACGATGCTTCTCATCCACTTCAAAAATGGATTCGAAACGCTGAAAGAAAAACAAAAAACGATCCGAAACGCCGCCGGCCTTGACCTGTTCGATGACGCTCTGAGGTCCGAGACCTGCCGAAAAACTCACGTGATCTTCATAAGGACAACGTGCAGCGCGTTACAAGCGGCGAAGGTTCTTTGTCCAGCCAGGTCTGGTCCAGCGGCGACTGTTGTCAAAAATAAGAGATAGTCTAAGTTGTACATCGGTGAAGCATGAGTTCGAGGATGAATCATTGCATCATGGCCATCCCACCATAAAACCATAGAGAAAGTGTACATAATATAACATTTCTAATATAGTGTAGTGTAGTCTACGCCAATCCCCATCACATGACACACATCAAACGCATGATCTTGATGACTTCAAATCCGCTTCTTAGGCCTTTGTCAAAGCACCTTCATCCCGTTTCTAAAGGCAACCTTTTCTATGCACGACTGTGAGTGCCCGCCCCGAACGACTAAGACATTCGTTTCCGTAACCTCGAAGTTCCTCATCTCACCCCGCTGACTACCATGGACGCTGAAAACAACGGTGTGTAGAGGAAAACAGTCGGAATCACGGTGCCATTCGACCTGTGTCCATGCCAGTTTTGGGAAACATGAGTGGTGACTTGTCACCTCGTGGGGTTTTCTTGGCCGCTAGCGAGTTTCAACTTTTTCTGACGCTTGCGGCTTGTGGAAGAAGGTCGCCACCCGACAACTGCAAGGTGTTCCATAAAGAATACGGCATCTGCTTTAAAGGCCTCGTCCCAAATGGATGAGTTTCAAGATGAGGAATGCAAATAGATAATAAAGGGATGTCCAAGAATTTGTCCTTCTGTTGGGGAACTTGATACCCTTGTCTTTTGGAGCCGAGGGCGAGGCTATTCTTCTCACCTGCTGAGGAACTATCGTTTTTGCTGAGCTTCAGGCTTCGTGGGATGTCGCACATCAGCTACAGTGTTCTACATATTCTCTTGCGGAACGGACGTCGATCCGGAGACATGGGCTGTTATGGACTGCAAGAAGTGACGATCGTGACATGGGCGGAGTCCGGCATGCCAAGAGCGGAGTCCGCTCGTGAAAGTTGGGCGAAGTCTTGTGCAAGACTTAAAGCCGACAAGGCATGTCGTGGCAGGAACTCCTGCTGTGGGAGTTAGGCATCTCCAGCATGGAGAAGAAACGTCCAGGCCCGGTCCGCGTCTTGCCGTGACGAAGAAAGTTGCAGATCAATAATAGGATGTTGAGTAGATGCAGGGCCCCCTCCAAGGGATGTCTACTGAAAAGCCGTTTCTTCAAGTTTCAGGGGTGTCCATTTATCACCCCGGCCGTGGGTCCTGGTATAGAGTGCGTGTTTTGCACAGATCAGCATGTGTCAAAAGTGGTTAACCCAGCAGCCGGCCTCGAAAACCAACGCGTGGATGCCCTGATTTTGGCGATGGCGCATCAAGTATCAAGTCGCCACGCATCAGTAGCTGGTGAATGTTGGTGAGCAGAGAATCAATGGGCCATGGGTCCAGCTTGGTCTGAAAGCGGATGTCTCTTTTTCTACTGTAGATCTTCCAGGTCTCCCTTCCACCCTCCAGGTCACCTGCTCAACCCGACGCTTTGCCCGAACGAGCCAACAAGGTCCAGTCTTCGTGCAAAATCCCGATGGCAGCATCGTTCGAAGCTCAGTTCTCGATGGCAGCAACAACTCTTCAGCGGTTCGTTCCTTTCCCCCGTGTCGGGGCCGTGTCTCCGGAGTATTGCAGCTATTTGCAGCTGGTTTTTGGTCACAAGGTCTGCCAATCCAAATAAGGGCCTTTGCTTGAAGATGGAGTTTTGCCACAAGAAGCTGGTAAAAGTGCCTGGTATACTATAGTTCGATTGCAGGAGATGTGATCCAATGGCCTCTCCTTTTCGTTCAGTCTCCTTTTGATAGATTGTAGTTTGGAACCTATCAACAAATGGTCCGGAAGACCTGGCTGGCAAAAGCCCATGGACTTTCGCAGCCGCCTGGGCTGGATGGCCGGCTAGGCCGTGTGCACTCGAGGCCCAGGGAGTGCCTCCGGGCTTTCAAGAGCCCCACGCGCCCGATACACCACGCTTCGGAGCCCCTTGGACCAGGTGAGTCCGGAGTGGCGCGCGACCTTGCTCGGTCGGGTGGAGGAACCCCCCCCCCCAAGCGTGCGGGGGGAAGAGTCCGATCGGTGACATGGGGTTGACTGGGAGTTCTTTCGATGACTTTGCATGATGATATATAAATTTACACGTAGATGTAAGTTGGAGCGTGCTATGCTTGTTGAAGGATTAGTTACGGTGCCGGTGCTCCTCCTTTCGTTTTGGACACCATGTCTTCCCAGGGTGAGGAACTACCTAGGTTTCTGCAGGAGTTCGTTCTGAGACCTTTTCATTTCTGCAAAAATACCAGGTGGGCCCTTTAGGGTTCAACATGTTTCTTGTGGTTTTGACCTATCTAATAGTGCTGCTTATAGGAACAATAATACAGTATGTTAAATCCCTTTGCGTGTTTGATTCATACTCAACAAGGTGTGTTTCAACTACTTTCATGTTCATTCTTGCTTGATATTGTTGAACTGTTTCACTGATCATGGCTGTGTGGCATGTTTGGCGGAAGCTTAGATTGCTTTTAGCATTGAATTGATCTGTTAGTGTTTGGCGTGCCCTCACGCCCCTGCTGAGGGTGCAGACATGAACTTCAACACCTTGAGTCTTTTGGTGAGAAATGCAGATCGTGTGGTTGGCACAGTAGAGGTGTGCATGTGTGACCTGTAAGAGAATCGTGGCAATATCGGGCTTTTTTGTTTTTTTTGGAATATGGACGTTATATGGTATGCGGTATGGGTATGTATGGGTGAACAAACATATCTTGGCCCAGAATTCCACAGCGACTCTACGTCGAACGTGTTTTCCACAGGGTGGTAAGGCGACGTGCGACCTCCATCGTGGGACATCGTGCGACATCGCTCGAGCCAGAAGTTGTTGAATGGGGACCGGGAGCCACCGTTGGGCGTTTCTGTTCGACGTTCCCATCGCTGAATGGGGGTTCTTTCTGTATTTGGACCAGTATTTACCGAAGATCTGAGTCTAGGATGTGTTTTTTCCAAGCCATTGTTTGATTCTGTATAATTAGTGATTAGTGTGTCTTCAGACACGTCTCATCGTGACTCTTTTTGTGTCGCGGGTGGTAGTATGAAGTGGTATAGGGAGCCCCAAGCAACAAAGGGTGTGCCCAAAGATGAGGTGCCCAAGCAACAGCTGGAGTGATTCTGAATGATTCTGAATTCTGTCCAGTTGTGAGGTAGGGTACATGATCAAAGACCAAACGACTCCAGCATGTTTTTGCTTTGAGCACCGAGGTAATCGCTTCACATCACCACATGGGTGTATCTTAGTCTTAAAATAGGGAGACCTCCCAGGCGTCCCAACCTGGAAGAAAGAAGATAGACCACGTGATAGACCAGTCTACCCAGCCAGGGCCAGAGGATCCATGAAAGTACATACCCACATCTTGCCACATCTTGCCTACTAGCGATGGCCTACTAGCGATGGCCTCCAACCTACTAGGCCAACCTAATAGCGATGGCCTCCAACCTACTAGCGATGGCCTCCAACCTA